ACTTCAGAATCCATCCACACATGCTAACAGGTAGCATCTATATTTACTTCCTTAAACACAGTGTGCTGCGTTTTGATGTCTTGATTTCATCAATGGTTAAAAGCAGTGAGAACGTAGCCCTCTGATTCACTGTCAGTCATCCGTCTGTCAGGTTTGTTCTCCTGCGAAGTCCCTGTGTGCTCCTGGTTGCTTAGCCTTAGGTCATATCTGCCCAGTCAACTTTTTTCATTCTGTTACTAAAACCCTTATTTTCATGAAACTGACATCTTGTGGTACTGAATGAGGTCACACATAAGGTTTGATAAAAAAATATTCCAACTCCATTACGTCTCAGCATTAACGTCTAAAACTCTGGCACAAAAAGCAGCAGTTGACGTGCATTCCTTCATTGACTGCTGGGCCTTTATTAATATCCTGCATTTCTGTGAAGGTGACCCAACGATAAGAGGCTCCAGATGTAAAAAAGATAACCAAAAAAAAAGTTTTTGATTCAACAAAACAGAAACACGACTGATGCAAAGTGTCCAAGGAAGTGAAAAACCAAAACACAAGTCTGAACATGACAGGACCAAAAAGACTCACCAACCATGTGCAGAAACATACAACTAATATCTGACAGGAAACAAAATGACACAGCAGAAAAATTTATACAATTTTGTGGTTCATTAAACTGAAGCCTGTTGTAAGGAGAGCATTAAATAAGAACAGGCATCAGACAGAAATCAAGAGTAAAAAACAAGCAAAAAAAATAAAATAATGACCAAAAACATAATCTAAACAACTAGAAAACACACTAATTAAAGGCCTTATCAGCCACTGCTTTTCAAGCCAGAGATTCAGACTGAGATCAGCTTCTGCTGACGAATGATACAGTTTGTACCCAGTTTGATAAAACCTTAAAAACAACATTCTAGGTAATGTTGCAATGATGTGCCTCAAGTGGGGGAGGTTAAGTATCTGGGTGTCTTGTTCACGAGTGATGGAGCAGGAGACGGATCAACAGATTGGAGCATCGTCGCCAATAATGATGATGTTGCTCTGGTCAGTCGTGGTGAAGAAAGAGCTGAGTTGAAACACAAAGCTCTAAGTTTACTGGTCCGTCTACGTTCCAATCCTCACCTGTGGTCATGAGGCGTGGATCACATCCAAAAGAACGAGATGTTGGTTTGAAGCTGTTGTTTTCCACCAAATCTTTGGTTTTTCCCCAGACGACTTGTTGTTGGAAGCTAACTTTGGCGCTAAACGACGACCGGTCGTAAAGGTACGGCAAGCCAGGAGTGACATAAAACATATAAACAGAACCGCCAGAACCGGTTACTGGGTCAGAACAATGTTTTAGTCAATCAGAACCAACAAGAATGAAACAAAAAGTAAAGAATTAGAGAAATAAATGTTAAATGTAAATAAATTCTAATTATAATAAATTAATAATAGTTTTACATCTGAAAATGATATTTTATTATTTTAATCTATTTTCCTCATTCAGCAACCTATTAAATTTCTGTTATGTTTCATGTAGGAGAAATACACCAAGAATTAGAGAAAAATTATAAAAGTTAAATTCAAATA